AGTTAATTAATGGAGAAAATTTAATATTTCAACTTTTTTAACAACTACAACATATTCTGATCAAATTTTTGCAAAGTTTAATTTATATGTGATGCTAGGATGATCAAAACCATTGTATGCATTATATATTACTTTTGAAATTCATCCACTGTTACGTCACAAGACCTTCTGACGTTTGACTTTAAATTCACCAATCATACAGAAAAGTTAGACTTACCCAAATTTAATTAAAATTAAAAAATGATCATGTTGTCGATCATTTGATAATTTAATGATTCTTCAAACAATAGCTTTCAAGTTTTCAAGAAACTAATATTGTTAGATAATAATTAATTTTAAAGCTTAAACTCAATATTATCAAATTCATTTTCCCCTTAATCATTTCAGAACAATATAGTAAATAATAGATATGGTATAATTTCAATATAATAGTAGATTTAATACAAAATTAAGCGCCACTTAAATAATTAATAATATACTAAATGAAAGTATTAAGTAATATAGGTGATAAATTTTCTAACATTGAAGTGCATTAATTTTCTTTCAATTTTATATTTAATTGGTTGATTTGCCGTCCTGGTATCAAGTCAGGACTCTTCTTAATATAAAGCAATATAAACAGAATTTTGCTCTTATTTTTTACAACAGAAAAAGTAAATATTTAATATTTAATAAATTATCTGATTTATATTGAGAAATATTTATTGTAGTATTCTTTTGGTAGTATTAGTATTGCTGGAAAAGCTCTTGAAAGATATGCGTATTAGCTATCTTTGGCTCGTATATTAAAGACGTCATTAGGTGATTTGTCAAGGGTCCAAATTTCGAGTTTTGGATGTAACTTTTTATTTTTCCAAATGGATATAGCTCGCATTAACGTTTCGCAATTAAATGCAATATTTCATAAATTGTGCCGCAATTTTTTTAACAAAATGTTTTGGATAAACAATATGGTAACAAGAATTTTGATGTAATATATATTCGATAACTTATTTATTACTTATTTGCTGGGCATATTCTTTACATAACAGTTTTATGCAACATTTGTAAAATTGTGTTACATCTTTCATGTGATCCTGAGCAAACGAGAGTTTGTTGTACACTGACCCACATCAAAGCACGTGTTTTTATACGTTGCCAGTAATTGGTTTTCACATCATAATATTTACGTAGAAAACGTTAATGCGTTAACTCAATTTCGATTACACAACGATAATCGCGTAACTAAACCTACTAGAAACGAATTCCGAGTTATTTAACTAATTAAATTGCGATATTTAATTAATAACAAGCAGTATGGAAACGTTTTAATTGAGACGCCTACGTTTCGAGTCTAATATACAGGTTTTATGCGAAGTTAGAGTTCAATAGCTGTTTAAAGTACTGTATTACCTATGGCATTTCAAATAATTAAATTTGGATCAAGTATTACTGAATAATTGCAAGCTGTCCTTGATCCTTGTAAAACGTAAAGTATAGTTTAGAGAGAGAGAGAGAGAGTCATTAACGTAAAAACTGACTTCAGAATAATTTTTCTTAGATAATTTACAATTTATTAAAAAAAATTAATTTCTAATTAGCGACGGATAATTAATGTTGACGAAAATCCATATATTCATCTGTAAAAGTTACCGAAATTCCATAATTATTGTACTTCTTTCAATATTAGTTTTAATAATAAAATTTATGAACAAGGATTTACTATATCATTTACTATACTATAGGGAAAATATTGACAGAAAGTTATATATAGACAAAATGACACAATGCCTTTTTTAAAAATTGTCTAGTTTTAGTAACTGTATAACATGAAAAAATCTTAATCACAATCCTGTCAGATGTTGAACGTCATTGCCACAGTCTTGTCGCAGTAATTGATACGAGTTCAGCAAATTCAAAAGTTTATTGTGGAAGTGGTTTTGTCAAGTTTTTTGGTGACCAATTCATTATTGTTATTTGTAATTATTTCTATGAAAATCTATGAACGCCAAGTACCAGTGATTTTTATCAATTTTATTATAATTATGGAGCTTTCGATGAAATTTTGATTATTTATTAATATTTTATCACTTCGTATAATGGACAAAATGACGACGTACTATTTTGAAAGAACTACAAAGCACAATAAAAGAGAAATAAAGCTTTCAAAGCTTTCAAAGCACATTAAAAGAGAAATAATTCCTGTTAAAGATTATAGTTTTAACTTCAACTCTAATTACTTCTAAAAACAGACTAAAAGATCCACCAGTGAAAAGAGGAGACTTGCATTTATTGCAAAGGCCTTATGTATGATTTGTTTTTTGTGCGATCATGTTTCATGTGCTGATGTCCTAAAGAGAACCAAACGATTTATTTGTGAACTGCCTTCTTAAAAATTAAAAAAACTAAAAAAAACACCGTGTCATTTTATCCCTACTTCCCCTACTGACAAATTTTTTAGCTGAAAACGTATTTCAATTATTTTTCCTTAGTTTGTCATTTAGTCGGGTAAGAACAAAATGAAGTAAGACCATACCGCAATTTAAAATAACAAAAGTAGATCAAATTTTGCAACTGTGAAATAATTTGGCATTGTATATTATGTTTCCTACCATTTGAGGAACGTTTTCCATGCATCTAATTTTTTTTTTCTAAATCATTGAAGAACACATAAAAATTGATGTTATTACTAAAACCTTTAAGTATATTATATTTATCTATTTATTTTCAATAAGACATAATTTATCAAAAGTTCAATATATACAATTATTAAGATATTCAACACAAAGGCAGAGTTTATTTAGATTTACATTGATTAAAAAAAATCATTGAATAAAAAAATAGTTAATGACTATATTTTATATAAATTATGCAAATATTCGTGATTTTAGTAATTCAGAATAACATTTACATCTGATACTATATTTATAACATCTTATGTCCAAGTCAGATTTCACACTTGATTAATACACGTGATATTTGCAGATCATACAAGTGCAATAATTAGAATTATTGTCGTTATACATTACATCATAATTAACTAAACTTAAATAAACTTTGTGTGCTTTTCATGTGTTGCCATACTAATTCCCATAACATTGAATCACGATTAATTAGAGAATAAATAGATTACTAAATTTATTAACAATACTTACTTTTCCACTTTGATTGAATATTGGAAACGTATTATTTTAAAATTTCATTGAAATACATTGAAATCGATTGGTTATTTGTAGCCTTGTGGTAAGCGCCTTACTGGTAACCATGAAAGCCTAATATAAAACATTTTGAGTGTCGAATAATGCATTTTGTTTATTATCATTGCAGTAACAATGCCCCTATTCAACAAACAAAACATGTCAAAGATAAAAATCATAAAAAGAAAAAGCTGACTCCTATTTCTCAAACCGAAGTCACTGAAATAAAACCTCCAAAGACTGCAGTAACCGATAAGTCAATCGCAGATAACGAAAATGCTCCGGATATTTCGATAATCGTACCAAATTCAGGTGATATACTAATCGTATTTCAGATTATCGTATAGAGAATTTTGTTTTGATGGTTACCTTTGCTTACAGTTGCACAGCAGAGTACAACAATTGAAACCCAAGTTGTCACAATCCCAGAAAATGCCCCGTTGCTTATGAGCGTAGATAATAAATTTAGTTCTACAGTTCCTGATGTCGAAAAACAACCAATTGGTGAGAATTTACGATATGTAACATTTTATTAAATAATCATTAGTAGAATTTCTGATTTCCATTTTAGCTTCCAGTACGCTTTTGGAGAAGATTGCTGAAACGCCGGGAAAAGATACTACATCCCAAACTCCACCAAATATAAATGAAGATGTACGAATTGTGGACTATGCATTTATATAATTTTTTTTACGATATGATAATTTTTGCTAATATGTTTGTATTTATTTTAGGAGGGTTTTTGCTGCGTTATCTCAATGCATGATGGAGTAGTTTTGTTTACATCACCAACAGTGACAAATAGTTTGGGATTTCCCAAAGATATGTGGTTGGGTCGAACTTTTATGGATTTTATGCATCAAAAAGATAGAGAAACTTTTACAGCTCATATCAAGGAATCACTTTTAACCCATAATAATGGTAATGATTGTATTTTTTATACATGAATTGTATTATACCCTAATCATCTTGTTCAAAATTGACACAGTCGAATAATCTGGTAATCTGTTTGATAAATCTGATATATCAAAATAGTGGTTTTTAGTATTAATCGTTTCGAAAATATTAGCATTAGGTGGCTGCAGTTGGAAGTTGGTTGCAGTCTCTTGATTTAAACTAGAGTTTAACACAGTCGTAGTTCAAATTTAAATTTATTCAAATATAACATCATATTATTACGATTATTTTTAGTTTTGCCATTTTACTAATACTTTCTTTACTGCTCATAAAATGTTTGTCAATGATCCTACTTTCGGTTATCAAATTTATACATACATATTTTTTTATTTAAGATATCAACTTTTTTCTACACAATTGTGTATATTTCTTTTTCTAATGATAAATAATTTTCTTTTAGTGGAAAACAAAAGCAGTTTATTCCTGCTACTTCGAATTTATCGAGGAATGCGAAATTCTAGTTGTGGAATGACTGAAAATATTGTCAATTATCGTCCATTCGAATTGAAACTTTCATTCAGAGAAGCTATGAGCAAGGAACAAATGCCACCAGACACATTGAGTCCTGCAGATAGTGGTCTTTTACTGGTCATGACAGCGACACCTGTACATTCTGCATATGCTTGTAAGTTATATTATTATTATTTGTTAGTTATTATTATTATCATGATCTTATATTAAGTTACATATCAATTAAACAGCTTGCAAAGTTTTTTTATGCATAATGTTGCAACTTGTTATTACATATTACGAGTTTCAAAAAATATTTGAATTGTTATTTGACCGAACGAAAACTTTATTTAGAAAAAGGTGCGTAACCAATATTTTTGAAAATCTCTATATTTCAGTACCTAATGAAACCAAGAAAGACGTTCGGTTCTCCACCCGACATACTTGCAATGGTGCATTAAGCCACGTTGATGGCAGTGCTGTTTCTGCATGCGGATTTTTGCCTCAAGATATGATCGGAAGAAACGTTTTCGAATTCTATCACCCTGAAGATTTGCCATTGCTTCAAGAAATATATCAAGAAGTTGTTGAGAAGGGCAGAGCTGTGGGTACATCATTCAGAAGCAAACCCTACAGGTTAGTGTAGAATATCCATCAAATTATGTTGAAAACATATTCTAACAAAATTGTACTATTGATATGTTACAATCCTGATCAGACTACAACTATTATGAACAACTCTTGATTTTTAATATAGGCTTCAATTTTTTGTCACATACTCACCATCTATAATCTAGTGCATCCATATTAAATATACTTTATCGTTTATTATAAAGTTTAATACTTCAATAGATTTCTAGTTCAAAATGGTGGTTATGCAACGGTAGAAACAGAATGGTCTAGTTTTGTCAACCCTTGGTCAAGGAAGCTTGAAATAGTTACAGGACTGCACAGAGTTTTAAAGGTATAACAAACTTATGAGTTTATGAGTTTTTGTAATAAGGAATAGAATTACAAAATGAATATAGTAATTCATATAGTTTATTTTTAATGTATCATGTGTGTCTCTATTCTAGGGTCCACCAACACCAAATGTTTTTGCAGAAGCACAAAGTAATCCAACAAGCTGCATCTCTGAAGAAGTTTTGAAAGAGAGTAAACTAATTCAACAAGAAATTCTTCAATTGTTAAAAGAGGTAATTGTAAGTTATTTTGCGCTTGAAGTTTCAAATCAGTTATGAACAGTACTAACTATTATTTCTAAATACCTTCATTAAGGTGATTCGACGACCTGCTGAGCATGTTAAGCGCCAGTTTTATAAACGTTGTCAAGCACTGGCTTCGTACATGGAAAATTTAATAGATGACGTAGCTCAACCAACATCCAAGGAAATTTTACCTCTGAAAGTTGAACCAACGTTTTCAGAACGCGATTCTGTTATGTTGGGCGAAATATCACCACATCACGAGTCTTATGACAGTAAAAGCAGTTTTGAGACACCTCCCAGTTACAATCAATTGAACTATAATGAGAACATACAAAGGTAATAAGAACAGGATTATTTTAAAACATTCTGCAAATTCTTTCACTAATTTCATATGTATTCTTTATAATTTAAAGGTTCTTTGAAAGTAAACCAAAAACGTCATTTGACGAAGCCACAACCGGTAATAGTCACACTGACACAGATTTGGAAGGAAAGCAGGATTCACAAGAGTGAGTGAAACAACCTTAGATAAAATTTCACTATAGATTTAAAATAGAGATTAGAAGATTATAACTTAATATTTTGCTCAATTATTTCTAGTGGTGGTAGTGGTAGCAATGGAAGTGGCAGCGGAAATATAAGTTCTGGAAGCAATGGTGGTGGAGCAAACACTCATCCTCATGGAAGTGTGACAACAAGTGGAGGAGAAGCTTCGCGAACTGGTTCAGGATCAGGAAATGGTTCAAGTGTTAATAGGCCACCTCAGCTAACTAAAGCTATGCTTGCTCGTCATAACGAAGATATGGCTAAAATCATGGTCAGGAAGCATAGAGAAGCCAGAGGTTCCAGAGCTCATGAACGCAAGAGTGGTCACAGAAAAGGCGGCGATAAAAACAAACAAGTGAGTGAAATGATAATTTACATTCCATTTAGTTTTTACTGAAAATTCATATTAAATAAATAGTTCATATTATCAGTTATTGAAATACTTTTTAGAAATAAGAGTTACCATATTGTGATGAAACACTCCATCAATAATTTTTCTTGTAGACACTACACTTATATATAGTAGTTACAATTAGCTAAATTTGAAAATATTTTACATTTAATTATGCGTTTTATCTCGGAACACATTTGTTATCTTTTCTTGTGATTTTTTGTTTAATTTTCACTGACTAATATATGCATAATTACTATTTTTAATCATATTACTTCTTTGTTTTAATTACTCCATTTTCATTACTTTGCAGAATAAAGGTCAAGGACTAAAACGCAGTGGGTCTCATTCCTGGGAAGCAGAATTTCACAATAAAACAGTGAAGCAAAGTCACTTGCCATCAGTTCCTACATCTGGTCCCATGATGATGCAACATAGTAAGTTTGCATCTTTCTTTGTAAACATATAAATATTTGTTTTTATATTTTTTCTTTGTGATTAAATGACGTGTTTATTTCTTTTTTCTGTCTTTACAAGTTTCGTACTATTCTGCCTCCTATTCGGGATACTTTTCTATACTTATTTGTACTATTAAATAACTCAAAAAAAAAGAACTTCTGGATAAAAGTATTTCTTAGATATTTATGATATACAGTTAAGAGTAGATCAACTGTTTGAATTGTTTATTGCATTTTATTAACTTCCCGTAGGGTAAGTTATTGTAATGGGCCGAAAATAGAAATTGAAAAGTTTTACATTTCTCGACGTTTTGAAGGTTTCTGAACATACTTCAGAAAAAATGGATGTGTGTGTGTGTATGTATGTATGGATACAATTTTTCGCCCATGTTTTCGGGCGTACGGATCAACCGATTTGAATGGTTCAAAAAACATTCGATTCCTATTGATAAGGAGATGTGCTGATTAGTTCTTGGCAAGAGAAGGTCAGCAGTTACGGAGATAAAGAGCAAATAGTGCAGAAAATAGAAATCGAGTTTTTGAGAGAACTGAGCATCCGATTAGAATGATCTAAAAACATTCAATAAGTAATGATTGGGAGAAGTTGTTATTAGTTTTTGGCAAAGGCAGGCCCAGCCATTTTTGAGATACGGAGCTAAATGTACAAAAAATGGCAGTTTTTGAGAGAACTAAGCGTCCGATTTAATTGATTCAAAGAATTTTCTGCTTGACTCAACAAAATAATTGATTTTGGAAAAAAAGTTTTTGTTTCAACTTTTTTTTCATTGTTTTTAAATTTTTTGTACATCGAAAATAATTCAGATTTTATTTTTAATTCTGACTATAGTTCTAATGTACTTCAAACAAATAATTTCAACTTTGCAATTCAATTTATATAATTCTTATGAATATTAGACAATGTTACAATATTTATAATAATCTATTTGAAAACATTCAGTATTCCTCGAACATTTTGTTACGGTACGGGAAGTTCCAGCAATTTGCTTTAAGGCACGATGCCACACACCCCACTAGTTTTTTTATTGTTTCTATGAATTAAAAACAATTATTATTAATTAATAGAAATTGTGTCAAAGACGAATTTAATCAATGCAAAAGGTTTTTTCCATATTGTTATGCAATTTAGTGTTCTTCTGCAGGTATGTTTTAACTTCTCAGAATAAAGAAAATAGTTCAATAAAACATTCAAAAATACAATAAACACTAGAACATTGACAAAAATATAAATTAAATTAAAACGTTGTCCTGTGATGCTTTCATACAAAATATTTATGAGTTTCATCATTTTTTGTAATGGCCATTCAAGAAATAAAAAATCTCGCAGTTACGTTACAATGATATTGTTATTTTTACGCAACAAAAGAAGTAAACAGCTGCTATATTATGCCATTGAACAGACTTATAGAACGACGTCAGAATATTATTTCCATTCTAGTTGTATATAATCCCTACATATTTTGAGGTCGAGAATCTCGACTCGAAATTAATATTGATGTATGGGCTTGCCCATGTGTTAGTGGTTGAAACAAAGGGATCTGAATCAGAGGTCCAAGATTTGAAACCCACTTTAGCAAGCCTGATGTCAGTATATTTTTAAGTGAAATTTGCCCTTTCCCAGAATTACTGCTTCAATAAAAACTCATTACTATTGCAGAAATTGTACATAATAATAAATAAAGTTACACATAGGACATCTGCTTGGTTTGCCATCTATAAAGCCGACGTAATTAGTTGAACATTTCTTAGTACTCTTATAATTGCTGTTCAATAAATATATAAAAAAGTATAATGTATTTTTAATAATATATGATCTATTTTTTATTTCAGTTATAAAAACATCATCTCCTCTTCATGCCGGTATACCAACTTCCTTCACTGGTCTGCAACCTAATATAGCAAATGGTTTCCGAGTTCCAGATCTACAACATGATTTAAGACGCACAATGCCTTCATCAATACTTCACCCAGGACTCCAAAATATACCAAGGCCTGTGTTAGCTCCTGATTTGCAGCACCCAATAATACAACCAATTGTTCCTCCAAACATACAACAAAATAATAGAGGAGTCATCAACAGTAATAACTTTATATCAGAAGGAATGTTTGCTCCTAGAAATCATAATGGTCAGTGGCAGCCTTTCAATGTACCTCTGGCTCCGCAAAATGGACAAGGACCTAGAACTGCAGGTCCAGCAGTTATTGGTAAATAATTGAATTTATTGAAATTTTAAATAAAAATTATTTATTGAAATAATAAGAAATATCTTTTCTTGACTATTTTGTATTCATTAAAAAATTACTATTTAAGCAATTTGTAATAATAAAAAATACTCAAAAAAACATAGGACAACTGTTTTCCATCTATAAAACCACCGTAGTTGGTTAAGTCAAATCACCGCTGTTCAAATAATATATAAAGAAGTCAAGTGTATGAGTTTACTCATCAAATAGAATAGATACATTTATATAGATAGTTGAGTAACAATCTATTCATTTTTTCTTTATAGAAAACAGTCCACAAATCGCACCCAACATGTTTCCGCAAGTGTGCTACATTCCAACACCGCAGCAAGCGCCAAGGCCAAGTATTCAGCAACACAGCCCTACAATATCACCATTTGGTAGATTAAATAAAATTGTTTGCATGATTTTCGTATCAAGTTGTTGAAATGGTATTTTATCACTTAAGACATTTTTTCAGTTCAATATTTACCAGGCATGGTATATACCCCGCATCCTATATTCGGACAGCCAATGCTGTATCCGCCTTTTACAGTTTACCATCCAATGCAAATTCCTAATCAAGGAACTTCAGGGCAAATGCAACAGCATTATAACGTGAGTGTAATTCTTTTATCCTGCGTAAAAATACTTTGTGACTGTTCATATAATTTTATTACACAAAAGAGGCTTAAATGGGAAGTTTTTAATCATTGAATATGTTTAATAATTAATTTTTATGCATATCTACTCTATTACAGATCATTATTCTCATGTGCCTTATTAGTATAGTTATTAACCAGAGCAGGTAATGTGTGGTAATCTTTGGTTTCATTGAACATATTTATTCAAAAAAATTCAGAATTCTAATATTTTGCAATATTATTTTAAACATGATAATGGGAAACTTGCACTTATAAAAGATAGTATAAAATTAATAAACGTCTCCATAGCAATCATTTCTTAGTAATTATTTGTTTTATCAATATATAAAGTATATATCTACAGATAAATCTTTAACTATGGTTCATCTATATGATCTTGCTACAATTTTTTTATAAGCATTCAGAGTATTTTTCATTTTACAATATGTTTTTGTTTCTTGACCAGAGAATGATGGGCTTGTTTTATCTGAGCCCGAATAGTTGAAAATTTATCAAAACCGACGATTTGCAACTGTCTGAATTTGACTGCGCATAGTCATGATGCAGTATTCGTTAGTTTCGGACAGTTTGGTTCATTTAATTTTTCGAATTTCTAATTCATATCAATTCAAGTTAGAGGTTTAATAAAAGTGTTTAATTAAATAGGAGTATAGCAAAACACAATTCGTAGTTAAATGTCAATTTCATGTCTTTTGAGTAGTTATCATTGCTGATTTTCAAAGATCGGCTAAGCCATTTCTTTATTATTAATCGTTGAATTTTTTTAAGGATTTGTTGATTCTCTGCGTTTTGATATAGTTCATGGTCTTAACTAATATCCTAAAATATTATAGACCTACAAAAACTGGTTCAATTATAGAAATTCATAAAATTATGCAATAATAAGCTGCGTCAAAACTAGCACAAATTAATGAAGCAATTTTGCCGTAACAGAGCTCATAACATAGCGTTGTCATGGCAATCTTTGAACAGCAGTTGTCAACAGCATCTTCGAAGATTCTGTTATCATAACATTCTCTCTTGCTTGTTTATATGATAATATGCCTAATCACGCAGCAAACAGAAGGACATTTACACAGTTTTTACTGCCAAAAAACAAGCATAACATAGCGTTGCCATGACAGCATTGCCATGATAGCGTTGCCATGACAGCGTTGCCATGACAGCGTTGCCATGACAGCGTTGCCATGACAGCGTTACCATGACAGCATTGCCACGACAGTCAATTATTTATACATAAAAATAAGTTAGATAATTATTATCTAAAACAATAATTTTTTTAGAAATATTTTTTGATAATTTTTATGACCGACAAGATGAAAGATTATTGCAATGATATGCTGAAGCAAGTTTCCTGTTATCATAATATTTACAAAATAATTAACACTTTAATTTTTCCAATTAGCAAAATATATTACAAACAAAAAAACATCATAAGTTTTTGTTTTACAAAAATTGTAAGAGCTATGAGAAGGCATTTAGCAGAATGCTTCATGAGCCCTTGATCCGAACTAATGGTATACCTCGATTGAATTTCCTTTAAGAATATTCCGCCGGACAAGCCGACTGGCGCTTTCAAGGGCGGCGGAGGGGCTAGCACGCGCAACGAAGGAGTGCGTAGCCCTAAAGTCGTCCGTCCACCCTCCCAAGCGACATCGGTCAAAGCCGAACCCGGTTCCAACGTTGGCAGTATTGCATCCGCATCTGTCGTCAATCGAGTGAGTGTGTATGCGCAGCAAAACTAAGTTAATTTTTTATGAAGTTACCTTATTCTCGCTTCCATATGCATCGCTGGAATATATATACCAGATTGTTTTTGAGTCCAGAAGCGATGTCAATTGAATCATCAGATATTTGTTATATGTGATAAAGTAATTTGGGTAAAGTTGCTGAAGTCGTAGCCCCAAAGAAAAATCTCTGCAGTATTTAGTGTAGTTGAAATTGTAAAATCTTAGGTATTTTCTGGATCATTATTCAATTGACTAATTATTAACAAGTACTGAAGTATTAAGTATATTTATTACGTGGATAAATTTATTAAGTTGTATTAAGTTTATTTATTACGTACCTTTTTCAAACATGTGGTCGTAGCATGACTAGAGTGCCGACTTAGCGGTTACCACAAAAAGTATCAAAATTTAATTAAAAAATTATTATGTGGGTGCTAAGAATGGAGATGGCACTCTTCATAAAGTAACAGTTATTGGTTACACCCATTTGGTGTTATCCAATTCAAGCAAAAACTTTATAATATTGTATTTAAATCGCATAAATGCCTAAAAGCTCTTAATTGAACCAGTATGAGTAAAAGAATTTTGCAGAGGTACGAATTAAGCAACTTTTTCCTACATATGTTATACAGATTAAGCAGTATGAAATGTAGTCCAGTCATTTAAGCTTAAATTAGATAAGAATCTGGAAATTCGAGATACCCAGCTGCACTTGTATATTGGCATTTAAAACTTAAAAGTATGGTAGGGTGTATGTACCATATGTAGGTTTTGAGACAACTTTTAAATATCAATATACAAGTATTTACAGACTTACAGCTGGGTATGTCGAATTCCGAGGTGAATTTACTATAATGACTGGTGCAAATAAGCAAATGAATGATTTGAAAATGATGATTGTGATATATATTAGCATGGCGAGGCGAATAAGGTCTATCGATACCTAAAATCTGGCCTGTTATTAATTAACATAATTAATAAAATTATACAATGATACAAATTTAGATCCTCTAAAACACTACATATACAACTATGCTTAACTTTTTCTATCTGTTTAAGAATCACTGAACTTGTTGAGCTTCATTATACTACATTTTAGTGGTTTCAATAACACACTACTTCGATTAAATAAATAAATTAAAATGTTATGGTAACGCTATGTTACGTGTTTACCATCGTATGAATTGGTAAAAAGAACTGTCAAAATTTATTTGCTGGATGAAGCGTTTCACACTTCAAACCTAACCTACAAAACGCTCAAACGTCAAATAACATCTTTATCACAAGTGCATCTTTTTTGATGTGTCATTGATAACACATACATAAAGTTAGGTTTTATGTGTGAAACGCCTGATTTCACAGCAATTACACAGCTTTCTGACAGTTTGTTACTACCAACTCATACGAAAATAGACCCGCAACATAGCATTACAATAACATTTCTATTTATTATTATATATTTCTATCTATTTTATCGGAGAATTGGCTTCTCTAAGTTTTATTGTTTTACTTCAATTATTAATATCTACACAAAGAATATTTGTATTGAGCCGTACAATACATAAAATATTTTAGATATTAGATACGTTTATTTAAATTTGAATCTAACAGTTCAGTACTCTAAATATTTATAGATTTCTTATGAGTTACATATATCAGTTTTTTTGCATTTTTTTATTTTAAAATAATCGAGCTTAAAAGTTGTTTTTGATGAGCCATTTTTAATAATTCACCATGATGAAAAAACATATAAAATCACGCAAATTTGATTTTCATAGAACAAATACGGTATCATAAAATGAAGTAAAATCTTGTTTATTTGCCATTTTTTGCTTCACTAAAATCAAATTTAATGAATAAAACATTTACAATCAGAGTCTTTCTAAAGATCTGTGACTCTACTATAATTTAATACATATTTCCTCTTAATGATTTTTTTTTCAATGTTTTATTTATTTAATTATGGATGATTATACAATAGTTTTTCTTTATTTCCAGGCGCTATCAGAGTGTTCTAAACGAGCTTTCCCATCAGCTTATTCACCGGATTCTCCTATAATTTCAGTCCATGAAGTGGATATAAGCAGCAGATCTCCGAGCAAGGTAAAATTATAAAACGTAATAAATTTGATTTGGTATTATTAAATAAATGAACGTAAAATAATTATCTTCAACAAAAATAATAGGAAAGATATACGAAAGAAGGAGAAGATGGCAGCTATTCATCATACTATTCATCCATATTCAAAACTGATAATACATCGATGGAAGATAATGATGGCAACGGCAATGCCAAACGAGAAAAAGTAAATTAATATAAATAATTTAACTAATAAAATATTTCTTTGTGTTGGTCTGTATAATAATAATTTTCTATCATAGAGCTCCGATGATCTTCGACACGAAACACATGGAAGGGATTTTAACGGTTTGGGATATAATTGTAATAGAACTCTAACATCAGAAATGAAAAATATTGATCTTAACTCTGACATGATTAATAAATATCAAATATCAAGAGATAAAATAGAAAATATTCTGAAACAAGATAAATATACACTGAAAAACATCACACAGGTAAATAATGTTATAAATTCTAGATATGCTGTGGGAAATCGAAGGGAATATAATTCATAATAATGATTATATACTATTTTTGTACATAGACAATATTTTTAAGAATGCGTAAAAATGTTAACAGATATATGGCAATAGTATTGCATAAATTCAAGCTATTGTTTTTTGGATTTAAATATAATTTTTGAAACTGTTGTCAGAAATACTTTATATATTCGTTAAGACTGCATAAACAATACATCATTTTGGATCACAAAGAAAAAATTAAATTTATACTTACTCAATATTAATATTCATGGCAAAAGAAAATTTAAAAAAAATTTCAAGTACATCTGTTAATACCACAATTAGAAAAAATACCAGTTTATGCTCGAGAATCATAAAATTTCGGTAGGTAACATTTTCAACCAATTTTGAAAATGCAACTTTAACTTCACTGGAGTACAGATAAAAATATAATAAAATATGTATATGTTTGTATATAGTACCAAATAAATCATGGTATTTTATGTATTTCTTACTAATTTTAGCCAAACGAGGTGAACGATCAGTTACTAAGATTATATATGGAATTAGATCTGAAAGGTGATACAACAGAATTTATAGTTGATGAAGCCTCAAATTGTAGCTTTCTTTCCAAGGAGGAGAATACATACAAAACTAAACAAATGGTTGGTAAATAAAATAATTAATTATTCTTCAATTTATTATAGAAAACTAAATCAACTTATTTGAACAGTTTACAAATACATTCAACCATCTGAATCAAGTATACGAAGAATCCTGCTCAGTTGCCAGACCTTCGTAAAGACAGGAACATTTATTTAATAAAATTCATTTGAATCCAATATGGATTAATTAATTTGGCCAATTTTAAAATATTGGCCAAAATGTTCATTATTTTAAAATAGGTATTGTAAATTAAGCAGCCCTTTGTGGTTGATTTTTTAAATTCGAAGGGTTATGCTTTCTGAAGTGAGTAATTGATATTCAATACAGATAGGATAGAAGCGCTTATTGCAATAATTGCAAAAAATATCGAGTCAGTCAATGAATGATTTAAAGAGAAAAATGTCTTTAGAAAATTTGGCTTACATCTCGACAGATATATAATGATAAAATGATAAACAAAGTTATCGATACATATTAAGTAGTTATGCTAATATTTACTTTTAATGGACATTTTCAGAAATCCAACTACGGTTTTTGCGATCCATTTTATAATATTATCGGCCGGCTTCTAAAGTGTCAATTTTATGTAAGCCTTTTTATAAAGAAAAAGTATTCAAATCTGATAAACTGATATAATTTCTGGTATTAGTAATTAAAATAGTAGAATAAAATAAGTGATCAATAATTATTTAACTTTACATTTAACTGGATATGTTAAATAATTTTTAAATAAATATTTTAAATATGAGAAACGCAAAAGTAAAATTGCTCTAATAATATTCAAAAATCTTTATTTCTTCAAACTTTACGGCCGAAAAGAAAATGATTTAAATTATTCCTATTTATAAATATTTCATTAATTTAACCATTCTATTTATAACAGTTATGAATTAATTTGTTTCTTTTTGGATTACTTCTTGCTTTTACCGGTTATTATAATATTAATTCGGAGGTACTTATTATTACAAGATTTTAATTTAGTTTTTATTATTTATTTGTTCATTTATCTCTTTAAAATATGTACATTTGCTTTCTTAAATCAGTTGTTTATGAAGTACAAAATGATTAAACTACTACGAGGAATCCCAAATTCAGCATTTTTTAGTGTTGATGAAACAAAGAACGGAACAAACATTATATAGACTTTTTTTTATTAGTCGACTTAAAATATGTGATTAAATTATTTTTAATTTTTTGTTGTACATATCATCCAAGACTTTTTCTGCTTGGCTATTAGGATGTTTAAGGAGTTGAGCTTACTTCTGATGAAATTTAATAATATTCAGCTTCTTTTCAAAATTACATAATAATACAAAAGTTTAAATCTAATAATTAATATCATTTTATTTATAAAGATTTGCATATTTTATCAGTAATTATTGTTTATTCAATTCCATACACCTAACATATATTGTTCTTCAGAAAACAGAAAAACATCAAGATTATTTGCGCAAGCAAGATTATTAGCAAAGTTTAGTTTAATTTTAACAGAACTCTAATATTAAAATTACACAATGATTTTGAAAATAATCTAATTCTATAACTAATAAATGAAAACACTAAATTCAATTTGATTTGTTACGTATTTTCACTCATTTTTTATGACTTTTCAAAGGTTGCTTTCATAATTTGTTTCTACTGTAATTACAATTTAATAAAGT